CATGACAATTATGACAATCATTATTAATGAAAGATTTTTCACAAATGTTTTCCTAGAATATCATGTTATGTAAAATAGGAAAATTTCTCTTGATAAAAATTTACAAGATTGAGAGCAGAAGTTAACTCACATTGATATAACGAGATTATCCTCACTATTACTATTACCAACTTTTTATTATGGTGCTTTTGTCTGCTTAATGACTAATTTATATCATGGAGCTTTTGTTTGCTTTGTGAACTAAGAATAAATATAGTATGTAAGATTCTTTACTATGATCCTGCTTTACTTAATGTACAAATGATAATGAAATGGTTATATACATGTATATATTGTACAAACTGATTTATGTATAAACCTATGAACTGTATGGTTCTTAGTATTAAACAATACAATACAATACCTCGTCATCTACGACGCTGTCATTCATTTAATTTTATGTCAATATCTGCAAAAATAAGTAATTTCTGGCTACATCCGGTTTGACTGGAGAAGGTCGAAAGAGACGATACTCGGTGAAAAATAAGGTCGGGCGTCCTCTGTGACATTAATAGTTCGATGCCATATCAATATCCGTAAAATAAGCAATTTTTGACTATTTCCGGTTTGGCCGGAAGTGATGTCATTCGACGATTTTTGATTGTCTCACTAGGTGTTACTTGTTATTTCAAACAACTTTGCTTGTATGTTATATCATAATTTCTCAATAGTTTTTGAGATATCGAAAAAAAGGCCCCTCTAGATCTCCAATTTTAAGGGCCAGCCACCTTTTTATGTTGCCAATCGAAAGAACTTTAATTTAGAACAATTTTTATTCTACATATCTTAACAAAATAATCATTGAAATATTATAGAGAACATCTAAGAAGTTTTGAAATTCTTCATATTCTTTTTTCGTCCGCGTGCAATCACTGCTGAAAATATAACGTTTCCATCTTGAGCCGTTTTTAAGAAAACGCGCGGAAAAACTAACCCTCAAAAGGTCACTAAATTGTGGTAATCTCAGAACCGGTGTAACGACGAAAAGTGACCCCCGTATAATATTGACCGGGGGTCATTTTTCTACGTAGTAAAATGACCCATTTTTTTGTAGAAATTATGGCCTGGGGGTCATTTTTCTCCGTGTAGGTTGTAGAAAAATGACCCCGTAGAATAATGACCCTGTGTCTTTTTTTTAATACAAAAAACTGGTTTTGGTAGGAATATTCTTGTTAGGCAAATACGCAGCCTAAAAGCTTTAAAGTTTAAATAACAAAAGATTATGCTTTACCTTACATGTACATCAATAATACAAGATGTTTTATCCCATTAAAGGAAAACAAATAACTAGGCTATTGTGATGTTCGATGACTATAAGAGCAAAAATACACGTGTTCTTAGATTTGTTTTATCATATTTTATAAGAAAAGTTTCCACAGTCGTCATTTAAAAAAAAAAAAAAAACAGGATTATTTACTTAGCTGGTGTCAGAAAGAGAAACTTATACATGAATAAAAAATGCATGGTTTCTGTGTATAATTGTAATGACCCTCTTTAAATTTTACTCTGAGTAAAAAAAAAAGAATGAGAATAAAGTCTCAAGCGTTTTTTTTCTTCAGCAGTTACAAGAAAGATTAATGTTTTCAAACCCTACCCAAATAAATTTGCGTGAAAAAAAAAATGGACAATTGTAAAGAAAATTAGATCTCATATATATATCTTTGATTTTTTTAGTAGAAAACTTCTCAAAAAAAAATATAAGGAAGATTAAATTTGTGTAAAAATAACAGACAGGACTAAATCAATATTCTCTGATATTCGATATCAGGGACACAAAAAATAATTAGCTTAAAATCTTTATCAATGTCTTTTGTCGTTTGCTAGTGTCAACAAAGCCTAAACAAAATGAGGCTTTTTACATTACAAAAATTGATTAATTTATGAAAGAGGTGTTTGGTATACTAAGAATTGACACAAGTTTATACACAGTAATACGCATTTCCCCTTTCTAGTTACATGTAATAATTTTTACCAACAGAAAAAAAAAACGAATGTTGCATTATGCAAAAGCTTCTCTGCCTAATTTATATATTATTTTTTTCCCTAAGTATGATTGGCAATATTAGTACAATTGAAGTTGCGTTTGCAAAGAAAACATACAACTGTGTCAAAAAATATTGTAATATATATTGTGTTTAAATCAAGTACATGATTCGTGTCAGCGTATCTATAGTGGTAAGTTTTGAGGGAGTGGGTAACGATTATGCTAGCCTATAGGAAAAAATCTGGCCACGTCTTTCCTATACACAAATTAGGCGATCTTGTTGTGTGATACGAGGTTTTAAAAATATGAGAGTTGTTAGAATAAAGTAAAGAAATATCTTTTTTTTTTCTTACATCAAAAATCCTACTTATAAGGAGTTACATAATGCATATGTGCATGATAATGTAGATTATACATGTATCTATATAATGATCAAGAAAGGGGAGTATATTGCCAGTATTTCTATCACAATCGGAGGGCACCTCTAACAAAAAAATTGCTCAGGAGCGTCGGCAAGTATTTCACATTGGGGAGGCGAACTGGATCGAAAAGGGGGGTCCTAACTAACTTTTTGTGACAAAAACTAAATAATTAAAATTTCTGCAAAAATCTTGACATTTTCCCCTTAAAGTCAATAGCTAAGAGGTATTTCCTGATTAAAAAAGAGAAATTAAATATGCAATAACAACAACAACAAATGCTTTATGTGTTTCAAAGGTGCTTGGACACAGATTTGAAGTTAATATTTTCTCAAGTTTTCGGTATAATATCATGACTTATATGTTGCTATAGCATTTCAAATGGAAATAAAATTAAAAAAAATTATTTTATCTGGAAATTATTGAAACTACAAATTTCGGGACGCGTTTGATTGATACATCCTAGCACTTTCATAAAGCAAACTTTATCCTTAATACTTAAGAAAAGTAAAAATTTTGTTGCGTATTAATGAAATATATTCAAACTATAATCCAGAAAATTCAGAGTAGAAATGTAAGAAAGCAAAACCAACTCACTAGTATTGTCAGTCCTTGCTCAGTGATGTGTGCAGAGTTTAACAAATTGAACACACCCGGTGAAACGTAAACATTAACAATAACAGAGATCGGCCAGAGATCGTGCCCTGTTTACAAAAACAGTTTACGTTTCACGGGTGTGTTCAATTTGTTAAACTCTGCACACATCACTGAGCACGGACTGACAATACTGGTGAGTTGGTTTTGCTTTCTCACATTTCTACATGTGAAATGCTTTAAAAACATGTAAGTCATGATATTATACCGAAAATTTGAGAAAATATTAACTTCAAATCTGTGTCCAAGCACCTTTAAGTTACATAATATTATACATAAAACAAAACTGGGTCATTTTTAAATAGCAAGGAGATAGTTTGTTTAAATTTGTTTTTTTTCCGAAACGGCATAGAAAGAATTTTGAAAGGTTTATGAAAAGGTAAAGATTAAATTAGATATAATTTTCTAGTATATAATATTTATTGTTACTTCCCGAAAGAATGCATAATTATGAAATTTAAAATAAACAGGGGGAATAATCCTCATAATACCTCCATTTTTGACATGCAAAAATACGTTGACATTGTAAAAAAAAAATCAACTGAACTTCTTTAACTAGTAATTTTACCCAGTATTTTAGTACATGTATTTTGCTTTAATTTAATAGCTTACAACTTCGATTCATCAAAGATTTCCTAACACTGATCGACCGATTGGTTAGACAAGAACAGGCCTGTTACATGTACATGTATATGCGGGGGAAGGTGTCAGAAGGGGGGGGGGGCTCCAATTTTCCTCCCACTTTCTCCACTTGTTTTCTGAGAAAAGTCTTTTTGCTTAAGTTTTGATATATAAAAATTCATTCATTTAGACGCTGCCCCCTCCCCCTTCTTTCACACTTTTTGTTGCTGTTAGGTCGAACTCGAGCAAATTCCAGCATTTGAAAAGAAAAAAAAGAGAACCCCCACACCGCCCCCAAAACATAGAATTTCCAAAAACGTTGCTAGCTGTGGGCCTGAAGAAGAATTTGTAGCAAACTTGCAAGTAGCGATGGGTACTATGCTTATTTTTTACACATGCCAGGTAAAGGTATATACGTACATCCCAATTTGCATCTTTGTAAACAAACAATATTAATAGCTTTCACACTTTGCCACTCCATTGACCACAGATTGCCGATATTCTTGGCGCTCCATTGACTACAGTTATCGTCATTACAAATTTTGTTATTCTGTATTTCTCATTTAAAATTCATTTTTCTTATTTATTTATTAATTAATTTATTATTTTATTTTATTTTTTTTTATTTTTTTTTTTTTTTTTTTTTGCAAAATTATTGGGGTGGCGACCGCCGCCCCTGCTGCCCCTTTGCCGACTCCCCTGTTGCTGTAGTATAAAAATATAGTTAACTCTAGTTTACTATTATTAACTTTATTAAATACTTTGATATTTTGATTAACTTTGAAACTTAGTTTGGAACTTTTATGAGATTTCAAAGCTGAAACTTTCTTAAAATTGATATCAGTAATGTAAAATTTTGGGATGATATGTTAATATACAATATACTTATTTTAAACATTAATATCGCTGTTTACGTAAAAAAAATATCACATGGAATGCTTTTATTTATCAATTTTAGACCTCTCCAGAAAAAATCAGATTTAAAAAAAATCGGAGAGGGCTACATTATTGCAGCTGGGTGGGCGTTGGCACGATAAAGAACCCTCACTGCTCAATGGCCCTGAGTGCCGAGTAAAGAATTTGAAGCCCTTCAGCGGTACGTGGTAACGTCTCATATGAGTGAAACAAGAGGCCCAAGGACCTTAATCTGAGTATAATTCAACATTGATTGTAAAGGTCTAATCCACAGAAGAATGAACTAAAACAAAAATAAACTAACAGATGATCAAGGATATGTTCCCCAAAAGCAAGAAAAATCAGATGATCAGGGAGCAACAAAATAATCAGATTTATCCCTAAAAGATAAATACAGTTATTGAGAATGACGCTTATTGCTTTCTATTTTGAAATTACGTATTGCTTACAAAGAGCAACCCGTTTTCCGGAATTATATGGTCCTATCATGACGATTCTATGGTTAATAATACATCAGCATTAATGAGCATGCGCTAGGTCTTTTCAACTCCCCATCTTGTTCAGAGCAGACGAAATCATCGGTGTTCAAAAATAAATCAAGTATCATCGGTTAAGTATTGTATCAATCGAAGAAATTTAAGTATGAAAATCGCATAAGACGAACATATTAATTCATATTTAAGGAATTTGTTTAAAATTTATTGACTTATTTGTTAGAAAATAGTAATGTAAAACAACAGAATTTTATTTTCATTGCTTGATTAAATAGAACACATGTTGGAATATTAATAATTGGGAGTAAGAAAATCTTTGACGGTTTTATTCATTATTTGCAAGAAAATGAGCACTGGATTGTTGAGAGTGGGATCTACAAGGAGATCCAAGACAAAATCGCCTTATGCCAGACGCCCTGCACGTGCTTCCGGCCCCTCGGCGCGCCCGGTGCAACCAACACAAGAGTCCTCACAAATACAGCATGCGGGAAGTGGTAGCCAAGTGATTTATGCTCCTACCTGTGGCCTACAAGACACATCCGAGGTCAGTCCCGTGAATGCCACACCGCCAGTGAACATCACAGGTGACCAGCCTCAGCTGCAACAGACCTTTAGTGTTGCCGCATCTCAAAATATTCCAGATGTGCAGCCTCTGCTTCAAGACACCTCTATGACTACAGCAACAAAAAATGTTGTGTATCAGCCAGGTATGCATGTTAATCCCCTAGTCAGTATTACATCAGATCTTGGGGCTAATATACCATTGACAACACAGGAAAAAATTTGGAATAATGAGTATATAGATCTTGCTAGGTTATTGCATTTAGATCCAGCTGCTGAAATTCAGCAACTGCTTGTGTTTGAAGATGGAGAAATTAAAATAAAAAATAAATCTAAGGATAGAAAAATTGCAAACATTTCGGAATGGACTGATTCCTTTTTGATTTATGCTGCCATCTACTTAAAAAAGTTTCCACAGCACATTCAGGGCATAATAAAGTATATCAGTTCAATAAGGCTAGGGGCTTCTCGGTCTACTACACTAGGGTGGAGGGATTATGACATTCAGTTTAGACTTAGGCGCTCAAAAAATAGTATGATCAGTTGGGAAAACATTGATGCAGAATTATGGTTGATTTACATGGGTCAGGCAGCAGTCGCTGAACGCAAGCCTACTTCTAATTTGCACCAGCACAAGCGTTGTTATGATTTCAACTTGAAGGGTTCATGTCTTAAAAAAGATTGTAGATTTTCACACTCTTGTCTTAAGTGCGGCAAAAACCATCCCTCCATCAACTGTTACAGTAATCAAACCAGCCATAGTACATCAAAAGGGGCTACTCACAATGTCGGTCGTCAAAACATCAATCCCAATGTGACCCAATCAAGATTTTCAAGGCCATTTCGGCAATAAAGATCCATGCCTTTGGGATCTAGGTTTTACACCGATCAATGTAACCACTTTAAACATTTTGTTACAAGATTATCCAGAAAAAACTGAGGCAAATCAACTTTTACATGGGTTTACATTTGGTTTCTCATTGAACTATGAGGGTCCGCGGGATCCAGTATCTTGTAAAAATATGGTTTCAGCATTAGAGCATAAAGATGAATTGTTAGCTAAACTGAACAAAGAAATTGACCTAGGTCGCATAATGGGTCCATTTGATGCCCCCCCATTTCAAAATTTTCATTGCAGCCCAATAGGAGTTTTACCTAAAAAACAGGGTGGCTGGAGGTTAATCACCAATTTATCTGCTCCACATGGAAAGAGTATTAACGAATTCATTAATCCTGAAATTTGTTCAGTTAATTATTCATCTTTTGATCAAGCTGTTAGCATGGTACAAAAACTGGGGACAAATGCACAATTAGGGAAAATGGATATTTCAAATGCATTTAGGTTGTTACCAATTAGACCCGAAGATTTTAGTCTGCTTGGTTTTAAGTTTCTTGATAAATATTATGTAGACAAATGTTTACCTATGGGTTGTGCCATATCGTGTGCTTTGCTTAAAAATTTTTCCAGTTTTTTACAATGGGTGGTAGAGTATAACACCAACTTGAAAAATATTGTTCATTACTTAGATGATTTTTTATTTGCTGGAGCTCATGGAACAAACAATTGTAAATATATGATGGATTCTTTTCAAAATATCTGTAAAAGATTAGGTGTTCCTCTTTCAGAGGAAAAAACTGAAGGTCCAACAACATATATAGTGTTCTTAGGTTTAGGTATAGACTCAGTTAATCAGTCAATTTTCATTCCAAAGGATAAAGTAGAATCTTTACAAAAAGAAATACTTGAAATTCAAGGGAAATCTAAGATTACATTAAGGCAGCTTCAGTCTTTAGCTGGCTCATTAGCTTTTATTACAAAGGCCTTGCCAGCAGGTAGAGCATTTACATGCCGCTTATATGGTTTAATGTCTGGTGTTTCTAAGCCACATCACTTTGTACGACTTTCCAAAGAAATACATAGTGACCTCCAAATGTGGTTAACATTTCTTGATGAATTTAATGGAACAACAAAATTTCCAGAATTGGAATGGGAATCTGACAAAAATGTACAATTTTATTCAGATAGCTCAGGTTCAGTGGGTTGTGGTGTGGTTTTTGGTACTTCCTGGTCTTATCTCTGTTGGCCACAGGAGTGGAATGTTGATATAAGAAAAGACATCACTTTTTTAGAGTTTGTTCCTATAGTTTTAGGATTTTACTTGTGGTCAGACAAATTACAAAATAAGAAATTAATTTTGCATGTTGACAATATAGCTTTGGTTGAAATCTTGAATCGGAAAACATCTAAGAATACAAGGGTAATGATTTTGATGAGAGAATTAGTATTGCTTTCTTTGAAGTTTAATATTCAGTTTAAAGCAGTTCATGTAAGAGGTTGTATAAATGAGATAGCAGATTCAATTTCTCGATTGCAGTGGAACAGATTCAGGCAGTTAGCACCATGGGCAGATTGCCATCCTTATCAAGTACCTATTCAATTTTGGAACCTTTTGAAGGGCATGTCAATCATTTAATAGAAGCTAGCCTCTCCAACAACACAAAAATTGCATATGACAAAGCCATGGTTGTATTTAATGACTTCAGATTACAATTTAATTTGCCTCTATCTTGGCCACCTCCAGTAGATCATGTAATCAATTTTGTGGCTTTTCTAGCATCAAAAAATCTTTCTCATTCTACAGCTAATGTATATTTATCAGCCCTGAGTCACAGTTTGCAAGTGCACGGATTGGACAATCCAGTCAAATCTTTCATTGTGCAAAAAATGTTAACAGGTTTAAGAAGATCTAAGCCTACAAAGGACATCAGAAGTCCTGTAACATATCAGCTTTTACTAAAAATTTTGGATGTTTTACCTATGGTTACACATTCAAAATATGAGCACTTCTTATTTGGGTCTACATTTGCAACTGCATTTTTTGGTCTTCTTAGAATAAGTGAAATGGCAGTAGCATCAAATAAGAGTCGAAGAAATGTACTTCACCTTTCAGATTTACAGTTAAGTAATGAAAATATCAAATTAAAGTTGCGTTTTTCTAAAACAGATCAGAGTGGAAAAGGTTTAGTCATTACTATCAGCAAATCAGTAGAGTCAACAGTGTGTTTTAATTTGTTAGAAACTCTCTTGCAATTCAGATCTCTGGTGGATGGCCCTCTATTTTGTCATATCAATGGTACACCATTATCGGCATACCAGTTTTCAAGTGTATTACACAAAGCATTGAGATTTTTAGGTATTGAAACAAAAACTTTCAAAACGCACTCTTTTAGAATAGGAGCTGCTACTCACATGTATTTGTCGGGCATATCTGAACAAGAAATTCAAAGAAAGGGAAGATGGGTGTCAGATGCATATAAGCATTATCTCAGACCTAAGTTGATTACATTTTAGATGCAAATAATGTTATTATGATGGTTACATCATTGTCATATTGTTGTTAACCTGATATCAAAATTATAATTGGAGTTGGATTCATTTGATTGCTGTTTTCAAGTGCATAATTATGTAGATTGTAATCATTGCTTATGTATTGTTCATAAATCTTGTAGATTCAATCTGGATTGTGGGATCATCCCTTATTAAAAGAGCAGAACAATTTTCTTTGAGTTCTCCGGAATTTGGCACAGACCTTTCTTTACCAGGGGTAAAGGTGTTATGGAAGGGAATACCAGGGTTGAGTTTTGCCAAATTCTCTGAGGTCATTTCTGACCTGTCCTCTACAAAGCCACATCCGAGGTTTCTTGTTATCCATGTAGGTGGTAATGACATTGCCAAACTTAATAACCCATTACGAAGACAACAAAAATTTATGAAAACTGTTATCAACAAGTTGAGTTTGGTTATGCCTTTGACATGCATTGTCTGGTCACATATTTTGCCCAGGGTATATTGGCGTCATTCAATTTCAAATGTTGCTGCAGAGAAATCAAGATCTAGGATTAATAGTTCTATTGCTAGCTTTGTTTTAAAGTCAGGTGGTGCTTCAATTAAGTACCCTGACATCAGTATTGTTCAAAGTAAACTCTTTCTTAATGATGGAGTTCACTTATCTCCCTTAGGTAATTATGTCTTTTTGTCAACAATGCAGGCTGCTCTTAGGCAATTTTGCTCTGGTAATGGTTTTGTTTATCCATCAAAGTGAACAGTGCATAATTTTGGAATTGGAACTGTTGTGGCTTTATGAAGATGTTATGAAATAATTTGTGTGTAATTTGTGAATGGTATATTTTACCTGTGGTCAAAATTCAGCCGCTTTGATGGCGGTTGGATTTCATTATGCTTGAAATCCAATTGGCGCAATTTTGACAAGTAACCATTTGCTGAGGGATACTGTTGTCTCCAGGTCCCCCAGCTCTGATATGGTTTGTTTAATATTTGTGAATGCTATGCTGCCAAAAGCTTACAAGTGGTAAGATCGGCGCATAGGGCATGAACATGCGAGTGGCATGTTAACTGTGAATGTAATTTGTAATAAAAAGCCATGACAGTTCCGCCAATATGAGTTGTATTATTCTTCCAAATTCTACAAGGTACATTTATGAAGTGTCTTGCATAAGAAAAATTCAAAAGCTGAGGTTATCAACCTTTAATAAAGTGTTCTTATTAGTGTTAGGAATTTCGAAATAATCAGATTTATCCCTAAAAGATAAATACAGTTATTGAGAATGACGCTTATTGCTTTCTATTTTGAAATTACGTATTGCTTACAAAGAGCAACCCGTTTTCCGGAATTATATGGTCCTATCATGACGATTCTATGGTTAATAATACATCAGCATTAATGAGCATGCGCTAGGTCTTTTCAACTCCCCATCTTGTTCAGAGCAGACGAAATCCCCTCCCTTCCCTCCCTTAAATATTATGGTTGGTTTGAGTTTTTAAATTTATTAAATAAATGTTTTTGGTTCCTTTTCTGCTGTGTGCTTTCTTTCAATTTCAGAAATCGTCATGGCTTATATACTGATGAAGAATACTGTGGACTTCGCTGTGAATGTGATAATCCTGACTGTTTTGTGTTAGCGCAATTTTGACAAGTAACCATTTGCTGAGGGATACTGTTGTCTCCAGGTCCCCCAGCTCTGATATGGTTTGTTTAATATTTGTGAATGCTATGCTGCCAAAAGCTTACAAGTGGTAAGATCGGCGCATAGGGCATGAACATGCGAGTGGCATGTTAACTGTGAATGTAATTTGTAATAAAAAGCCATGACAGTTCCGCCAATATGAGTTGTATTATTCTTCCAAATTCTACAAGGTACATTTATGAAGTGTCTTGCATAAGAAAAATTCAAAAGCTGAGGTTATCAACCTTTAATAAAGTGTTCTTATTAGTGTTAAGAATTTCGAAATAATTAGTCTATTACTCAGTAACAAATGTCAAAGCGAATCTATTTACTTGTCTGTACCTGCCCCCATTTGTCACTATCACCATTCTAATTAAACAAAACAAAAGTGCTTCATCAATATTAGAATACCAATTGTATTCCTTCTCATATTGGTCTCTCTTGTTCTCTCAATTTTGGAAAAGGCACATTTCCTCATCATAACTATACACTTAGTTTGATTGTTTGCTTAATACCCAGGAGCAGAGAGGAAGATTTATACATTTTCATTATATGATCATTAGAACCCCGTCCTAACTCCAGAACCCCTAACTCTCGGGCCACAAATTTCACAAATTTGGATGAGGCACATCTGCTCATTATAACCATGCATTTGATTGATCTACTAAATATACAAGGGTTGTCCGGTAAAATCGTGGACAAGTTGTCTAGAGTGAAAAATTATCATCACTGCGTTCTAAAATTTTCACTACTTTTTAGTATATTTTTCATCAATATACATAGAAAATTTCAAATAGATATATACTCAAATAAACAAAATATGAGATTTTATGTTATGTATGGTATCACCTTACGGGCATGGTTGATAAGGTCAAAGTGTCTAAAACAGCGTCACTTTTCCTTTGTGCTAAAAAAAATTTGGATAAGCCTCACTTAAATTCGGGAATTTCATTGATGCACGTACTTGAATTTCCCTTTATTCCATCAAAAACAGTCGAGGAACCAATCTCGCACACACATGGGACCTTCTGAAGATTTATTAGTAAGTTATGGACAGTACTCTCACTATCATTCAACTAAATAGGGTATCTTATATCGATGGTCTACAGTGACAGCGTCTTTCGCTATTGCCAGTATGTTTCCGTATGTTTTGTTTTACTCAGGGACTCGATCAAAAAGCTTCCGCTTAGAAAACTCCCATTTCACTTGTATACTAAAGATATATATTTTTCTTCTGAAGTCATTTAAAGTCTCTTAGGGCGTCATTTCTACATCTAAATCAAGCTTAACTGCTCTCCGGTGCGCCGTAACGCCATCAAATGTCGCCATTTTTCGCGTGTTGTTTTTACCACTTTCTCATTTCAAATGCTCGGAAAACTGCCAAAGATTAAGCAAAGTCTTGATATTTTCAAAAGAACGACATAGTAGATAGTGGATTAAAAATAGAACAATTTTTACCCCAACCTTTTCTATTTAATACTTTTATTTTGAAATAATACTTGTGTATTCTCCACTGAAACCCAGGTTTTTTATCGTGCGTCGTATGCTGTGCACATTCAAGCATAATAACATCTTTAATTTTGTCTATATTTTATCAAAAAATTAAGATGCACTTAAATATGATAACTAAACAGTTGTTGAAAATTTCAGCTAGGTGCACCCATTATTTTTCGATAAAAATGCTTTGTCCACGATTTTACCGGACAACCCTCGTACAAGGGGAGAGTAGAAGATCTTTAAAGAATTTATGCATTTTCACTATATGATCATTAGAGTACCCCCCTTAACTCCAGAACCCCTGACCTCTGGGTCCACAATTTCACAATTTTGGAAGTAGTACCCTTGCTCATCATAACCAGGCGCCTAGTTTTTCTTCTTAATATACAGGGAAAGAGGAGAAGAGTTTTAAAGAATTTATGCGTTTTCACTATACGATCATTAGATCCCCGCCCTAACGCCAGAACCCTTGACTCTCAGACCCCAAATTTCACAATTTTGGAAGAGGCATTCTTGCTCATCATAACCAGACACCTAGTTTATCTGCTAAATATGCACGGGGAGAGAAAAAGAGTTTTAAATAACTCATGCATTTTCACTATATGATCATTAAAGCCCCACCCTAACGCCAGAGCACCTGGCCCTGGGGCCACAAATTTTGGAAGAAGCACATTTGCATCTGATTTATCTCCTAAATATACAGGGGGATAGAAGAATTTTACAGAATTTAAGCATTTTCTCTATATGATCATTAGAGACTCGCCCTAACTCCAGAACCCCTGACCCTGGGGCAACAAATTTCACAATTTTGGAAGACACCCTTGCTCATCATAATCATGCACTATTAGATTTTCCATATGCATGAGAAGAGAAGATGAGTTTTAAAGAATTTATGCATTTTCACTATATATCATTAGAGCCCCGCCCTAACTTCAGAACCCTTGACCCTGGGGCAATGAATTTCACAAATTTGGTAGATGGTTCAATGCTTATTACAATCATGCCAACACCTTCACTGCTTGATGTCCAGGAGTAAAGAAAAGATTTTTAAAGATAGCACTCATTTTAATGGTTTTAGCCCCCTCCCCAGGCCCCAACGGGGCAGGGACAATGAAATTCATAATTGTTGTCCATGTACCCCTTTACCACCTGATGCTATATGCCAAAATTGATTGAAATTGGTTTACGGTTCAAGAGAAGAAGCTGAAAATGTTCAAAAGTTTACGACCGACGCACGACGGACGACGACGGATAAAAACAGATAGCAATAGATCATCTGAGTGACTCAGGTGACATAAAACTCTTGGTGAGATAATGAAAACTAATGATAGCAGTTATTGTAATGTTTATTAGCGATGAAATGAAAAATCTAAAGCCATGAGCTTAATTCCCTCTTTCAGAATTATTTCTTTTTTTTTTATTGTTGTATGAGAATATTGGTTAGTACAGAACCGTCCTAAATATGCATCTTCGGGGCTTTATTGCTCGTTATAATTCTACAGCGTTTAGTTTCATATAATTACTTTGTTTCATGCAATCATAAGTTTCATTGCAAGTTATCCGAGGATATCAACGGTTCGGATACGGTCACGACTGTAATCTCTAGAAAACATGGAAAAGGTAACAAGAGGTTTATCAAACCCTTTCGGTGCTTGGAGCATCTTACTATTGTATGACCAATTTCCCGGAGGTGACAACTGGAAACTGCCATTTCCATAAAGAAGAATCTCTGGGAAGACAAAGTCCGTTGTAAATGTTCCTTGAATCGAAAGATGAGAAAAGAACGTGGTTGATGTTTTAGATCCTTCTCCACATGACGACCGGTTATATGTTTTGCATTTCACAATGCCACAGACTTGGATATAGTACGAGGAATGTAAACCATCATAAGCAGCAAGAGCAAACAACTCCGTGAAATTTTTTGTAGTAGTGTAGTAGGCAATACAGCAAAGTTTATTGTGACAAACTCGAACATGGTCAGTTGCTTTGTCAAGTGCAACGTAGTTGTAGAAATCCCTGTTTGTGACTGCTCGAAAACTTGGTGGATTTCTTATGTTGTGATCCATCATACCGTTTGGCACAGGACGATTCTGGTTTGGAAGATATGGAGGATGATTATCTAATATTGGTACATCTGCAATCAGTAGTTTACCCTTGCTTGATACTGTACTGTTGTAATAGTATGCGAGAGCTCCGTTTGGTGAATAGATCCCACTTCCCTGGAATCGATACTCTGGAATATGCAAATTTGCTGCAAGATAATTTACTCCAAATCCTGCAGCAACGGCCGAGTGGAATTCTATGGCAGCAAGGAAAGGTAAAACGTCCATCCAGCCTGTCGGAAAAACTACGTTTCTTATACCTTGTTCTCTTAATAAGATTTCGGTCGGATTTCTGAACATGACATCAAAACATGTGAAAACAGCAAATGTTCCAAATGGTGTTTGAAAATGAACAACTTCCTTGGAGGTTGAAGGATCATACATATGTTCATGAAATAAATTAATTTTGTGATATTTAGCAATCAACATCCCGTTGCCATCGTAAACAACATCTGTATTATACTGAAAATGTCCGTCCGATGGACACGTCTTTGACGTACTATTATGATTACAGGGTTGAACGTCCCCAATGTTTGCAACTAGGTAAAGAGAGTTGTTTTTGGCTAGACAACTCAGGAAATGTTGTACCTCAGTGTTTGGATACCGATGGGGATCGTTGCAAGAATTCCATTTTTCTTTTTTTGGATCAGGAATAAACTCCAAATAAGATCGTGCAGATTGACGAGTGTGCCAATAATGTGTTATACCGTCTTCCGGAAATACAATGATGTCAACGAGCTAAAACAAATACATACATTATATATATATATATATAGAGAGAGAGAGAGAGAGAGAGAGAGAGAGAGAGTAAAACACGCTTGTAGCGAACTTAATATGAATTTACGCATATAGCCTAATCATTTTCCCAGACAGCAAGCTAACATTGGGCCAACGTCATCTGTTACATTGGGCCAATGTTGGCAAATGACATTGGCCCAATGTAATTTTGCTCATCGGCCCAATGTTGGCACGATATGTTGGGCCAACGTTGGCCCAATGTAAAGTGTGATTCTACAGATATTGGTCCAACATTGAACCAACATTGGCCCAATGAATGCGGCATTGGGCCAATATTGGGCCAACGTCATCAATTACATTGGGCCAATGTTGGCAAATGACGTTGGTCCAATGTCAGTTTGCTCATCGGCCCAAGGTTGGCCTGATATATTGGACCAACAATGGCCTAATGTGTAGTTATACGCACATTTAATTGTTACAAATCTGCATATGAACTAATCCGATCGTCTCTACAATCGGGAAAAAAATCTACCTCCATTCCTACTTAGAAATACAAGTTAGCTAAAACACATACAAACTAATATCAGTCTCCTTAAACTTCTTATATTTTATCAGAACAAAATAAATTATAAGTGATGGAATTTATTATTTCTACACAAGGGAAGCAAATGAAAGTATAAAATAACAAATGTATTTTGAATATAATTTTGAATATAATTAAAACAATAAATAATTTTGTCCTTTTTAAGATTAAAATTTTTATCTAAAATAAATTTCTAAACTTTTCCACTCATTGATACTATATACACTTTTTTCGCAAATTCGCTTGTTAACGGATTAATAACCAATCATTGTCCTCTGTTGCATTTTTGAACGCATTTCCTTCTTTCTTTCTCTGTCTGTTCTCATTCTTCCTTCATGCTAATTTCCATAGGAATTCATTCGCAACACAAGCGGTTAGTTCGAACAGCTCCTTTAAAAAAAAGTTAAATACATTTAGCAAATCTCAAAATAAAGAGGAATGCTGATAACTAAAGTAAAGTTGTAATTTATACAATTTCATAGTAATTTATTCCTTGCATCAGAAAGTAATAATATAATGGATATTTTCATTATTTTTGGATGTCTCTTTTCTTTTTTTAAATTAGTAATATTATTTTTTTTTCTGCATTTAGCCGCAATGTACGACTATAGCATTTTTCTTCGGGGGGGGGGGGGGGGGGGGGGACTGAGCACGTATTTTTATTACTTACTTTTTAAATCCCCATCATCTTTGAAAAAGCCGGTTTTCCTCATCTGCCCATCCAATGGAATTCCTTGCAATTTTGTTAGAGAACAGGGCAGCAAATACCCTCCTCTTTCCACCAATTAAATAGAATGAGAATTTTAATCTATAAAGAAAAGATTTTTTTTTCATTAAAGCACCAAGTAACAACTCGTTGATTTCTCTTCTTAACATGTGGTAGAAAATATGACAGAATTTTCAGGTCACCTGAGTCACTCAGGTGACCTATTGCTATCCGTTTTTGTCCGTCGGCGTTCGTCGTTCGTCGTGCGTCAGTGCGTTAACATTTGAATATTTTTAGCTTCTTCTCTGAAACCGCTCAACCAATTTCAACCAATTTGGCATATAGCACCTATGGGTGAAGGGGAACAAAAATTGTGAATTTCATGGTCCCTGCCCCCCTGGGGCCTGAGGGGTGGGGCTAAAACCACCAAAATTAATGCAATCTTTAAAAATCTTCTTCTTTACTCCTGGACATCAAGCAGTCAAACTGTTGGCATGATTGTAATAAGGATTGAGGCCTCAACCAAAATTGTGAAATTCATGGTCCCAGGGTCAGGGGTTGTGGTGCTAGGGTGGGGCTTTATACATCATATAGTGAAAATGCATTATTTCTTCTCTGCTCCTGGGTATGAAATAAACTAACTAAGTACATAGTTATGATGAGCAAGAGTGCCTCTACCAAAATTGTGAATTTCATGGCCCCAGGTCAGGGGTTCTGGTGTAAGGGGGGCTCTATTGATTATATTAAGAAAATGCATTAAATCTTTGAAAATCTTCTTCTCTGCCTCTGGGCATGAAATAAACTAACTAAGTACATAGTTATGATGAGCAAGAGTGCCTCTACCGAAATTGTGAATTTCAAGGCCCAAGGGTCAGGTTTTCTGGTGTTAGGGCGGGGCTCTATTGATTATGTAGTGAAAATGCATTAAATCTTTGAAATCTTCTTCTCTGCTCCTGGATATGAAATAAACTAACCAAGTACATAGTTATACTAAGCATGGCTGCCTCTTCCGAAATTGTGAATTTCATGGCCCCTGGGTCAGGGGTTCTGGTGTTAGGGGGGGGGGGCTCTTTTGATTATATGGTGAAAATGCATTATTTCTTTGAAAATCTTCTTCTCTGATCCTGGGTATGAAATAAACTTACCAAGTACATAGTTATGATGAGCATAGCTGCCTCTTCCAAAATTGTGAATTTCATGGCCCCTGGGTCAGGGGTTCTGGTGTTAGGGCAGGGCTCTATTGATTATATAGTGAAAGTGCATTAAATCTTGAGAATCTTCTTCTCTGCTCCTGGGTATGAAATATACTAACTAAGTACATAGTTATGATGAGTATGGCTGCCTCTTCCAAAATTGTGAATTTCATGGCCCCTGGATCAGGGGTTCTGGTTAAAGGGGGGGCTCTATTGATTAGATACATATGTAGTGAAAATTCATAATTTCTTTCAAAATATTTTTTCTACTCTTGGTTATAAAGCAAAGAAACAAGTGTATAGTTATGATGAGCAAGGATGCTTTTACAAATTTTTTAAAACTTGTGGTCCCAGGGGTTCTGTTGTTTCTCAGAGGGGGGGGGGGGCTCTATTTGATTATATAGTGAAAGTGTGTGAATTCTTTGAAAATCTTCAACTAATTGCATAGTTATGATGATGAGGGTACCTCTTCCAAATTTGTAAATTTTCATGACCCTAGGTCATGGGTTCTGGTGTTAGGGTAGGGCTGTGTTAAATAGTGAAAATGCATTATTTCTTTGAAAATCTCCTCTGCTCCTGGACATATTGGAAGCAAACAGAGTAATAGTTTTAATAAGCAAAGTATTTTTACCAGAATCTTAAACATCTTGACCATTTAGTCAAGTGTTCTGGTAATGGCTAGGGCTCTATTAATTTGTATTCTACTGAGTGAAGCTATTCCCCTTTGTCATTCACCTTTGATAATTAATCACTGTAAATAATGTATTTGAAAGGTTAATAAAATAAGAGAATTATGCAATAACATTTATTGTATAATACAAAAAGTACTTTCATAGTTTTAATAATCAGGTAGACTTGGAAATAATAGATGAATAAAAATGAAACAAAAATAACTTATCTTTTTAAATGTTCTTCAAAGGCCAAGTGAGGCCAATGTGAGATGTAATAATATAGACATTTTGTTAAAAGTCTGCATGGTAATAGTGTTAAATGGGGGACAGATAGAAAAAAATGGGGGACAGATAGAAAAATACTAGAACAGTTATTTTGTTGATCTTCATCATACTGTTTTCCTTGCTATTGAGCAACAAAGCTTCATTTATTAGTTAATGGATCCTCTAAATTGTTGTACTCAGGTGACCGTTAAGGCCCTTGGGCCTCTTGTATGAAATGTCTACATGATTATGAAACTGTCCCAGCCAAACTTTCAAAGACAATCAAAAAAATAAAATTTATGAATCTAAATGTAGTTGGAATGTGGACGTTATTATATATTTTCCTTTGTTACAGTCACAATTGGTGCACTTAATTAATTTACCATCTTTAAAAGCTGTTAACCGTGTACAAATTAGATTTTATTGGTTAACTATGATATGTTTTATTTTATGATTTATACATCATGCAGAAAAGGCACAGTGATTAGCAACTGAACTAGTTACATAAAACTTAGGCAAGCTTAGAAAAAAGATAAAGATTGCATTTAGCATGTTTAGATAAATAAGCGTTGCATTTTGTGCATTAAAATTTGAAATAATTTGAGGTAAATGGTACTTACATTTCTGTATATGTGAAATGTCTGCATGGACACAGCTGTTAAAATCCACAATGAAGAACACACATTTCAAAGCTTTCTTTTTTACATAACACATTCAACGTTCTTCTGTAGGAAACTTCCGTGATTAAAATGTTGAACGTGCTAAAAAGATCCAGATTTGACAATCCCGTCCTATCAGATAATCACGATTACCACTGGCCAGTCACACGATGTGAAAAACCCTGTCTTAATTGCTTGGTCAGAAAATGTGCTCTTATCTTGGAATATGCTCCCTAAATCCAACACTTTAGATAAATTATGTAATGGAAGTCTTTATATAGTGTGTTCGTCTTATTTTTTTATTTTTTTTCTTTTTTTTATATGCAAGTTAATTTAGATTTATGCATAAATGAATACATTTTTATGCTATTCTCGAAAACATTTTATTCATTGTAGTGTTTAAAGATTTACACATATTTTACAATAACTAACTTGATACATCACCATGCATGCATGTTTAAGAAGAACACACGGTATGTGTAACATTAAATACATTTAATTAACTATTTTTTTTTATCATTTTCTTTCACTCTCTCTTTGTCTGATTTTATAACAAACACTTCACGTGCTCCCTAGCCTGATTTCTGACTTCACCCCAATGTTGGTTCAACGTTGTCTACCCAACAAAATGTATCAAAATAAGCTGGGACGTAATTCACAATGTTGGCCCAATGTTGGGCCAATGTTGTACTCCCAACAAACTCCGTCAACTTAGTGGTGACAAGCTAACAACAGTGGTCGGACGTTGGGCCAACGTTGTGTCCCCAACCAACCTCGGCTTCCAAGTAAATAAGTGTTATGTTGATATTGGCCCAACGTCGAGCCGACGTTGTTTACCCAACGCCAACCATCGGCCAACCATTAGCCAACGTTGGGCCGACGTAGTCATGCTATCTGGGATTCGTTTTCCTTGACTTTAAAATTTATTGTAAACCTAACAGAACTAAATATATGAATTAACGCTTATAGCCCAATCATTTTCGTTCTCCTTGACTTTAAAATTTATTGTAAACCTAACAGATATAACGAATTACACTTACAACGAAACAAAATTATCCGTCCCTGGTACTTCGTTAAAAGCGTGTTTTATTGTATATATTAGAGAGAGCATTTATTATCATCTACTTGACATTTACCTTACGAGACGCTTCCTCGGCAATTTCTTTGTATTTTAGTAAATTACCTCTCATATATTTGAGGGCCTCAGCACGCGAAACAACTTTAGTTCGATTTAGAACGGACGGTGCATATTCGAATACAGCGCCGCGGAATGTATGATCATTAAAGCCTGTGTTTTTCTGAACTAACGACGTCAGCAATAACGTTACTGCAAGGAGCATTGTGTAAATAATGTATTTCCTGAAACTGTGCCTTTTATACAAAGAGAATGAACCTCTGATAACAAGGGCTACACTCGATCACGGTATTGGCTTGATGACAAGACATTATAACCTCCACGCCAGACAGACTTCTTTCTTAAATTAAAGGTGCTTAGACACAGATTTGAAGTTAATATTTTCTCAAATTTTCTGTTTAATATCTCGACTTATATATTGCAATAGCATTTCACACGAAAATATAATTAAAAACTTATTTTATCTGGAAATTATTTGAACTACGAATTCCTGGACGCGTTTAATTAACACATTCTTGCACTTTCACAAATTTTATCTTTATCCTTAATATTTAAGAAGGACCGACCCTCTGATAATAGAGATAACTTTCCAAGTAAAATATCCTAGTATTTCTCATAGTTTACTTTATCAGAGTTTAATTATCAAGGCCTTTGAGCAGTCAATTCGATCAAATGTAGCATATGCTGGAAACATTACCTTATATTTCCTTTGACTGTACTTTTCAAATCGTTTTATTATGTTTGACAAAAAAACATTTAAATACAGTTTTAAAACCCTTAAAAATTGAATAAGTTCTATCTTTTTAACGATCATTTTAAAAATGTTTTAATGTATCAAGCACCAAATGTAGAATTTTTATTAGTATTGCATTTTTTTTTCCAATGAAAAAATATTTATAAGAAAGATAACTCTTGCTAACAGATGTATTCGTTTCTTACAACCACATATAACATTGTGATATTCTGACTTAGGAAATAGCGCTTCATTATGATTTCTAATATGAATTTAGTAGGTATGACACTAAATATTATTTTCATATACACCGCATATTTCTAATTTTATGTTCTGATAATAAATTATTACTCTTCCTAATCTCTGTGTTAAAATTTCTTCATATTATGATCTGATATAAAAATCATTTCTGAAAAAATAAGCAGCGCTTCATACCTCATCCTTTTTTTCATTTTGATTTTGATGCTATAGCTCTTGATGAAAATCAATGTTGGGAAGTTTAAAAAATTTTCGTGAAATATGGAGCAGAGGGTCATTAGTCCTTACATCTGTAATCCAGAAAATTCAGAGTAGAAATATGCGAAAGCAAACCCCCTCACTAATATCGTCAGCCCGTGCTCAGTGTTGTGTACAGAGTTTAACGAATTGAATACACCCGTGAAACGTAAACTGTTTTTGTAAACAGGGCACGAGCTCTGTTATTGTTAATGTTTACGATTCCCGGGTGTGTTCAATTGTTAAAGTCTGCACACACCACTGAGCACGGACTGACAATACTGTGAGTGGGGTTTGCTTTCGAACATTTCTACTCTGAATTTTCTGGATTATAGTTTTAATATTTTTCATTAATACACAACAAAATTGCCACTTTTCTTAAGTATTAAGAATAAAATTAAAATTTGTGAAAGTGCAAGGATGTGTCAATCAAACGCGTTTAGAAATTTGAAGTTTCAATAACTTCGAGATGAAATAAGATTTTTATTATATTTTAGTATGAAATGCTATAGCAACATATAAGTCATGAAATTATACAGAACATTTGAGAAAATATTAACATCAAATCTGTGTCCAATTAAGCACCTTTAAGTTAGCAGTTTAGTATTCTTAACAAATATTGCAATAGATTTAACAATATTTGATATAATTGTTAAAAAGATATATTCCAGATATTTAAGGCCCGAATATATTCTAAAAGCTTATTATTTTGCTTACTTTCAATTGAGGCAAATTTTTCCTGTACGAGATATGTTGCAATTTTCGGCATATAAAACATTCTACTTGGTGAAAAGTATGACAAACAAGAGGCTCAGGGGCCTTTGATCACATATTGTTACCCCACCCTACCACTTGTGGTCATGATTTGAACAAATTTCAGTTTTCATTATCCATTATCAGAATACTTCCATACAAAAATGGCTAATCGTGGCCTTGCTGTTCGTGAGAAAAAAAATTTAGAAGTTTTTTTTTCTTCTGTATTTCATTGAAAAACTTTAATCCCTTATTGTGGCCCACCTTACCCTCTGAGGTCATGATTTGAATAATTTAAAATCTACACTTTGTCAGGAAAACTTGAATAAGTCTCATCTTTTCTGATCCAGTAGTTCTTGAGAAGATTTTTAATGATTTTTCCTTTTTGTTTCAATGTAAAACAAGTATCCCTTATTATGTTTCCATGTAAAAGTGAATTTCTTTGTGCTTTCTATATTAATATTTCTTCACTCAGGGCAGTTATGTTAGTTTAAGAGTTGTTGTAAAATGTGCTTTATAAATAAAATTAATTCATTACAATGTGTATCGGTAACGATCCTCTATAATAAAACTAATGTTTAAATAACTGTATCTCACTTCCATTCTCAATGACCGTGTAGTATAGGACAGCGCCGCGAGAATTCCATCGGTATCGAAAGCAAGTTTTTTAACTTGCCTAGATGGCCGAGCGGTCTAGCACGCTGTTCCTGTACTGCTAGGAGACAGATTGCGTAGGTCAAGAGTTCAACCCCGGGTAGGGGCGGAAGTGGGCATCCATGTAAAAGTGAATTTCTTTGTGCTTATATATATGTATATATATATATATATATATATATATATATATATGGTTATCCGTTTATCCCCTAACAAAAATTTACTATGGTTAGCTAATTTTTTGGAAATGATATGTGAATTTGCAATAAAAAGATACTGTTTATGATCTGGAGAAAATATATAACAATTTCATTTCATAGTAAGTATACTTTGATATACTACAGTAAACTTGTATAATACAGTAAACTATACGTTATTATAGCATTTTTTATTATGGTTGTATCGTACGTTGCGTTTATCGTGGCCTGCCTTCATCAAGTTTTGTATTGCGTTTATCAGGTTTTATCAGGTTTTTCGTTTATCTTGTGCATTCGGAAGGCATGTGACGGTACATATTGTCGTTTTGTACATACTGTCGTCAGCGACAATATGTACCTACATGTACCCTCACTGAACATACTGTCGTCTATCGGTACATATTGTCGCCGGTTGAAAAGTTACGCATGTACATATTGTCGCTGGCGACATTATTTGCCTCACCCTCACTCTACATATTGTCACCCCACATATATTGTTGCTTAAAGATTTCTTTTGTTGTTGTTGGTTTTTTTTTTTTTTTGGTAGTTTAGTGAATGTAATTTGTGTGTTGGGGGGGGGGGGGCTCAGAATTTGTTTTGACAAGCATAAAAAGATTCTTTGTATGTAAAGGTGTGTTACATGTACGTATATGTTAAGTAAATTATTCAATTATGAAATTTTACCTGTGGTCTAAATTGATAGTATTTACAAATTAAACAATAGAGAAGATTTTTCAAGATTTTCTGTACATATATTCCTATGTATAAAACTTTGATCACCCATTGTGGCCCCACCCTTCCCCTGAGGTCATGTTTTGTTTTGTTGTTGTTTGTTGTTGTTATAATGTCCATCTCGAGAATTTTTCATTAATATGTAGACGTCACCATTTGCCGCTGGAGGGCTTCAAATTTAGACCTATACTTGGCACTCAGGGTTATTGAGCAGTGAAGGGTCTTTTTCGTAACAGCACCTCAAAATGGAACATGTACGGTATGTAATGAAGCTTTAACATAGGTATCATCTCCTCTGACCCAGTAGTTCTTGATAAAAAGATATGGAGAGTATTTTTTCTAAATATTCTATGAAAAACTTTGATCACTTATTGTAGCCACACCCTACTCTTTCTGAAAAAAAAAAATAAATCTACACTTTATAATGAAGCTTTTACATGAGTTTCAACTTTTCTGACACAGTGGTTCTTGAAAAGATTTTTAAAAGATGTCATTAAATTTTCACTTATTCTTAACTACTTACCTTGAAAGAGAACATGGCCCTTCATTTGAACCAATTTGAATCCCCTTTATCCATGGATGCTTCGTGGCAAGTTTTGTTGCAATTGGCCCAGTATTTCTTGAGATTAAGCTAAAGTTTTGGAAAATTATCAGACAGAGAGACGGTAGAAAACCTCACTTGAACTTTCAGTTGAGATGATCTACAAAATGTCAACCCCAACAATAATTATATCGGCACAGGATTATAAGAATAACGCAAAAAATAATTTCCATATAATCATTACTACTGAACAAAAAAAAACTGATACATGCACTCAATCTCCAAGTATTATATTACAAGAAAAAAGAATAGGCTGATTTATCAGATATCTCAAGAATTAAGGTATCTTGACATAACATAGTGATGTACATCAATCTTGGACACAATTTACTGACCAAAAAGTTTTCTCCCTACAGTATTGCAAGTTATGCTGTCTGTCTACCTCTGTGCGTGTGTGTGTGTTTGTCAATCTCTCTTTCCTTTCTCAAGTAAATATTCGTCAAAACAATATATTGACGACAATATATGCCGACATTGGCTGTACATATTGTCGCTGACGACAATATGTGCTGGTGCTTGACTGTACATTTTGTCGTCCAATATGCAGGAAAAAATAAGGCTCGTCTCGGTACATATTGTCGCCGGCAATTTTAATCATCTTAAACTAGTTAAAAATGCATTGCTAGATAATGATGAAAGTGAAATGAACCAAATTCACATGACAGATAACATGTAAGAAACCAGTCATTTTAATTTGCACCTTAAAAGTTTTTGAAGAGTTATCTATCCTTGATGAAAAGAAGAAAATTTTTATTTTTTTCAAAATATGTATGGTGAATGACTTATTTTATTTCATATTATAATAAGGAGAGAGTTTATGCATATATTCACCAAGAGATTTGTACGAAATTTTAATTACTTTTTACAATATCTTAATAACACAAGCACTGCCCATATACTTCAATGTTAACTTCAAGGTACAATTAATTGCATAATAATCAAAATTTGGTAAATTCCTTTGGTGGAGTATTTTTGTTCGATAACACCTTCAAAATGCTTCCATGATTTAAAAATCGGATCATTCTTTTATTAGATACAAA